GTTCAGTACTTAAAACAACTTTAAATTCATTTTTCATTAGGCAAAACATGCTCTTCCTGCCAAGCACTAGTAAAGATGCAAGAAGAAATATACCAATGGAGTCGAAGTGTCTAATTTATGCCAGCAAGTCAAAGCAACCCAGCTTTTCAAAAAGGCACGAGGGCTAGTATACAGACCAACAATCGTCTATGGTCCAATACCCAACAAGAATTAAGACATGCAAAATTATCTTCTTTCCAGAAAGGAAGAGGAAAGAATTTTTCAGATATAAAAACACTCCTTCAGAATCATAGTTTGCAAAAAATATAGTGCAGTAAGGAAATACAACTTTAAACAAAAATCTTTTTTGAAAAATAGGTATTTTATATATTCATAGCTAGACAGTACTTGATAGCAAACCTAAGCACACATTACAGTGTGTATTGACACTTCCTTTAGAAAAAATAAAAAAAACCATGTGAGACATGGTGTAAAAGGCCTGTTGTGGTGCAAAGTGCCTACATGAAGTAAACATGTATATATTTATTCCTTTCAGCAAAATAAGACCTGTATGTTGCACTTGCTTCAAACTGTATGTTGTTCTTCCAAAGTTTTAGACTAAACAGACTCACAGTGATCTAATTATATTTTGGAATATGACCATATCAGAAATACACACAAAGTGGAATAAGAGTATTTTTTTTTCCATAGTAAAAAAATAAATTGGTTCCTAGGCTTTAATCATTCAGAAAGAAGTTTCAACATCAGATCAGTGTTGCTGATATACTGAGTTCCTTCATGAAGTGTTAATGTACTTACTGTAGATCTAACGCGCGTAAGTACATATAAGTATGCATATAAGTTCACAAAGGTCCAATACACATTAAGTACATTCAAGACATCTATCATCTAGGCTAGGAGAAAAAATAATTTCATATACTTGCATCACTACCACTTACATAACATTGTATTATGATGAGAGTTACCTATAAAGAAAAAACCTTAAGAGTATTCCTAAGGTCTGATGTATTGTGCAAAGTGCATGCTTCTGTACTGGGACTAATCAAATAGCATGTAACTTGTGTAGTCTTGAGATTGTGAACTTATGATACCGTACAGTCATCTCTGGATTTACCCTTACTCCTTCTACCACCCTGCAAATCCTCCTTGCTTTCATCCCTGTTATTGCCAGCACTTTCCAAATCCTGTTCCAAGACATTTTCATCTGGTATTTTTTCCACTTTATTAGAATCTGATGCTTTGATTTCATCTTCCATCACATCAGTCTTCTCATCAGTTTTCCATGATGCTTCCCCTTGCAAGCACCCTGTTTCTTCAGGTTCATCTCCTTTTTTATGCTGCAAGCTGTCATCTTCAGTCAGGGCATCTTCAGTTTCTATTTTGTCTGTTCTTTCTCTGGTTTCGTCTGTCTGGGCAGTTTTTCCAACAGCACCATTTGCTCCATTACCCTCTCCTTTCTGTGTATCAGCTTTCTCTCCATCACATTTTTCATCAGTTTCTAGTATCTGTCTTGACCCCTTATCAAAATCAAATGCATCACCGTCATCTTCCAGTCTTCCCTCTGCTTGACCATCCAATTTAACTTGTTCACTAACATTTTCATCCTGCTCAGCTTTCTGCGCCAGGGATTGATTTGCACCTTCGTCAGAAGCAAATCCACCACCATGGCGGTAAGCAAGCTCTAACTCTTCCTCATTTTCTTTCAGTGTTTGTTTATCGACTTTGTTTTCAGTAGTTACACTAATATCTACAGTTGACGACTCTTTAGATTCACCTTTCTCTTGTTTAACTACATTCTGCATTTCACCTTCTAAAGGAGTATTTTTCTCTCCCACTGTATCTCCTGTTGTTTCTTCACTGCACTGAACTGCCTGACCTTCTACCTTTGGCTTTAAATCTTCTACCCATTCTGTCCTACTTTCCTTTGCTTTCCCAGACTCATCCTCTATTTCCACTTCTGACTCCTGAATTTTGTCTTCTAAAAGACTTGGGTCTGAACTGGTTTCCTGAGTCATCACCTCTTTCACAATATCCATGCCTGGCTCTGCCTGCTGCAGCACACATCCTTTTACCTCAGTGATACAGCCTGCAGTCTCCACAGCTGCCTTATCTTGCTCGCCTGTTTCTGCAGAATCTGAACACATCTCCAACTCTTCTATTAATACTTCCTCCTGTTCATTCCTCTCGGCCACAGCATTTTCAAGTTCAGTTTTATCTTGCATATTTTGTTCCTCTGATAATGCTGAAGGATTGTCCTCTGAAGAAACTGGTTGGATGCATGCCTGATCTCCTCCACCTTCCTTTTCACTTGCATCTGCAGGGACACCACTTTCACATGACTCCATCCCCTCCAAACCCACAGACTCAGTTTCCCTTATCTGACCCTGAACTGTGCTCCCAACCTCAGTTTCTTCTTCAGCTCTATCACCTCCTGTTTTATCAATTCTTCCATCAGTGCAGTCTTTGCTTTCAACAAGCTTTTCCTTCAAGACATTTGGAACCTCCTTTTCAGCACTTTCTTCTGAGTGCTGGAGTCCCTCAGTGTGACTCTCCACATTTACCTCTTCACTAAGTGAGCCTGCTACTGTAACGTCTAGTAGCCCTGCCTGGTTAGAAACCAACTCACAGCTCTCACTTGTAATGTTGGCTTCCTGATCCATTTCATTATCACTCAAGGCATGGCTACCTTTAAGATCCTCTTGTTCTTCCTGTTCGGGTGCAGCTTCTTCCAGTTCATGCTCTGTACCTAAGACACTAGGCATTTCCTGAGGAGTCTCAAAAATCTGATGACCTTGCAGAGAGCCCACATCTGAGTCCCAATTTGTCCTTGCACTTAAGTCATGGTGTTCAGCCTCTGTACTAACAGGCTGTTGGACTGCTGTGCCTGCGGACTCGGTCTCCGTTCTCAAATCATCTGTGTCACTATCATCATTTGAAGAAATGCTCCCTGATACATGTTCTGTAAGGCTTTGAATTTGTTCTGTAAACCTACTATCTGGTAACATCACTGTTGACAGGGCACCATGTTCTTCAACCGTTCTTTCTGCCTTTGCATTTTCATCAGCATGCAATGTCTGTACTTCCCGCTCCTCAGACTCCTCTTTGTGTTCCTCACGCTCAGTATTCTGCAAGATTTCTCTTTTCCCCATATCCTCCAAAATCTCATTTTTCATGTCCACTTCATTGGCTTTGCCTAAAAGACCATTGAGAAAATTGAAGGGACCACACCATAGCACTTACCTCCCCACTTAAAACCCGAAAGAGAATGAATCAAAGAATAGGTTAATAAAAGATCAGCTTTTGCCAATTACGTGAGGCAAAGCAGCAATTGAATTAGTAAGGGTTCGGGGTTTTTGATCAGTGAAATTCACCACCACCCTCTCAAAGCAAGAAGTCTCTGGTGCTGGCTTGTGTTTTTGTAAAGTAAAAGATTTATGCTCTTGGCTGTGTGAATTACAGCTTTTGTAGATGAGAACAACTGTTTCAAGCAGTGCAATTTAACAGCAATACTTGCAGATGTTAACGCTAACAGTAAAGATTATTTTTTCTCAGCAATATTCTCTACAACTTTAACCCTAACACCACACTGTGCATGCAGGAGTGCATGTCTGATGCCATTATAATGAAGTAATCAAGGATTATTCAGTAATATTTTACTCCTAAGTATCATGAACAGGCATCATCAGTGTATATGACAAACACTGAATGTAAAATCTGATTGGCAAACAAATGGTTCAGCTGTTTAACATTACCAACACAGAACAAAGCTCAGGTACTTAGTGCCCCTTACAGCCACTTCATCCACCCAAAGAGGTGGGGACCTCTGTGGTTTTGGGATTTTTTTTGTAACAGTTTTTCTTCAACTTATACTTAGAAGCAACAAGTATTAGAACAACAGGGCTTGTGTTTTCAGCAGTTAGCTTTTGGGTCTATGTTGTACCTATTTCCAAAAAAAACCAAAACCAAAAAGAAAAACCCCAAAAAAACCCCCCAAAAACCCAAAACCCACAAAACAAAAAAACACCAAACCAAACCACAAAAAAATCCACACCACCACCACCCTCCCCCCCAAAAAAACCCCAAACCAACAGAATAAGGAGAGACAGAAAACATACTACATTTAAAAATACACCCTTACCTTGGTTTTGGTGTTCCAGATTGTTTCCACACAAAAACTCAGTGAGGAAAAAGCAGCCAACAGCTAAAAGCAAGTTAACTTGCACTTGCGACAGTTGGCTGCCTGTTGCCATTTATTAGTATGTTCATTTAGAAAAAAAACAGGAGGGGGAAAAAAAATCCATTATTTCCCTCCCTTCCTCTTAATATAAAAGTTCTCTGAGTGGCCACTCATCACAAGTGCATAAGAACAATGCTTTTGCCAACCAGATTTCTCCTTCCTAACACTATCTGTCTCAGAGTCATATTCTTTGACTTTAACAGCATTAATCCTGTTATAACAAGTAAAAACATTGAAGTGTTAATATTAACTGCTCAATAGTACTAGATACCAAGAACAACAAATTCATACATTAGTGTGTTTTAACAGTGCCCGGCACTGTTGTTTAGTGGACACTTACAGTTGTCAGGTATATAAATGAGCCAACATACAAGTTCTTTATAGGAAGCTAATTTTTTTTTTTTCCCTGATTCTTTAGGATATGTGCTGAAAAATGTTGAACAAAAGTAGGATTATTCTGGGACAATTTTCAAATTCAGGGTTTAAATAGTAATCTGAATGATTGCTACTTATCTGTAATGTCATATGTGTACTCTCATCCTTTGTCGCCTTGAATGGGAAATGAAGTCTGCCTTTGCAGGAAACTGCACAACATACTTGAAGTGATAATAAATATTAAGCAGAAAAATGCATAGGGAGTGATTCAACAAGTAGCATGCTGCGTGATGTGTTAATTGTCCCACTAACAAATGCCCAAACTCCAAGCAAAGATGAATGAATGGACAGACAGACAGAAAGACATGATAGGATATATAGCACTTACCTAGCGCCCCATCCCCTCCTGTCTTTAATGCCTGAGTTGTGCCTGGAACAGTTTTGGAAGAATCCAGGTGTCCTTCGTTATCAAGAATGTCTGATGTCTCCCCGTTGGTGGCTATGTCAGAGTCTGGGATTATTCCATGTTTCTGTGGAGAAGCAAAAGCAATGCTTTAGAGCCTGCTGCTCAGAAAGGGGAGGATTGTTCAGGTGTTCTTGTCCTTGATACTCTGAATACACAATTGCTTCAATCGTTCCATTAAACATGGCTGGAAGTCAGAAAAGAACACAAAATATTACAGTTCTCAGTTTTGGGGGTTTTTTTGTGTGTGTGTTGGGTTTTTTTAAAAAACATAAGTCTGCTGCATAAAACATTCCTCAGAAAAGAGTCTCCTACAAAAGCAACTACGTAATACTACAGACTATACTAAGGGCTCATGGTCAATATTAGGGGGAAGGACTTTCTATATAAAAATCCTGAAATGGCAGCTTAAAGGCAACATGAAAATAAGAGCTCTTGCTGCTGAGCGAGATTAAAATTTTCTGCAAAAACGTACAGGAGGAAAAGGTCAGCAGTTGAATATAAGTTTCTTTTACTCCTCTTGCGTACCTTCAGTTGCTCCTTCAGCACAACCACTTCATCTCTAAGGTCATCCCGCTCACTCCTTATGGAATCAAAGAAATCTTTCTGCCTCTCTAACGCCTGAGTTCCCAACACAGACAGAGGGCGAGGAGATGTGAAGAAAGGAAGGGAGACAAGTAAAGACCATGAAAAGCAAGTGTAAACAAGAATGAGTAGATTTAAGATATTCAGAGATTCATGGAAGTGGCATGTATGGAAAAGGTAAAGTTTACAGATTGAAGGACCAAGTTTACATACACACAACTAAGCTTCAAATCCAAGAAACGCACAGCTTATTCAATAACCAGGAATTCCTCCTAAAGACATTCAGAGCCCAATCCTTCACTAGGGATCCTTCAAATGAGGATCCACTTTTCATTCTTATCTGCTAGACAATTTAATTCATATCCATATTATTTCAACATGCACATTGAAGACATAGTGCCATTCCTATGCGTTAACAGAAGGGCATGAAAGCAGGCCCAGCAGATTTTAATAGCCCTTTTATTCCATGGATTACCATCATGGGTGCAGTACATTTCAATTAATTTGAAAACTGCCATTAAGTCATCTTTAGACTGGGATGTACCATGTGCAAATGCATATTTTGCTACTGAATCCCCCCAATATTCCTATATAAGTACAAGTAGAACAGTAGCAAAAATTAGACAATTTTGAGTTTCAAGTTGCTACAAGTTATTGGACATCACAAGCATGGGCAAGTGGCCAGATTTCTTTGTCCTCAATTCAGGAAGTCTTGCAATGCTCATTGTTAGAAAAGAAATCTAAGCTTTTCTTTAAGAGTGGGTTTCCATTTGGCTTTGATAAGGGGTGGTGGGAAGGGATGAGAAGCAAGGGAGAGTTAAGAGACTTTCAACCCAGCAGTCCATAAATAGCTCTGTTACTTCTTTATCACACTCCAATTTCTGCTCAGTCAGCAGATTAAATCTGAATAAGCAAAAATTCAGTGCTGATAGAATTGCATTATAAATAGCAGTTCCTTTCTCAATATGGCAAATACACCATGGTGCACCACAGCAAATAAATTGCCCTAGGTTTTGAAATCAGACCAGCTAAATCTTTCTTGGATTTTATGATACTGGCCAAAGACAAAAATCTGCTATTTGCTAGTTCACTGGTAATATAGTAAGACAGCCACACCAAGCAAAGTCACTAAGGAGGATTTTATTCAGGAGGTTTTGCAAATGCAGGATCAGCTGGAGAACAACAGTGCCACTCTGAACACATTTCAGGAGTTGACAGTCCTACCCCTATTTTTTTGTCTTTCCACTCTATTGTCTCCTGAAGATCAGAAATTTCCCTGACATAGCTCTGCTGTTTCTGTTGCAGCTGTTGGATTTCCTGAGAGACAGGAGCAAAACAAGAAGACAGAAAGCAGGTAACAGGTTAACAAAGAAGGTCAAGATTGCAGTGATGCCAAAGAATGAAAAAAGTCAGGTGCTAAAGTAAAAGAGTATCTACATGCACATTTCACAGTTTTTGACATCTCAACTAAACCTACACTCCTGAACACAATCTTACTGTTCACGAGATGACTTGCAACAAAGTTAGACAGTTCCACTGGTTTCCTCTGCATTTCCACGAACAGCTGTTTGAAACACAGCTTATTTCGTATTATGAACAAGGCAAAAAAGAAGTCCAACTTCACATAATACTTATGAAAGTACTATTTCTATCAGTCAGCCAGCTCTGAACCTGTTTGGCCTGAAACACTAGTATTTCTTCAGGTGAGAAACTTGAGTAGGGAGTAAAGTCCTCCATGCCTCACCTTCTACGCTCCTACTGCTAACTGGGAACATATCAATCGAAGAAGCCATTAAAAAAAAGTTACTTACTGCAAGCATTTCTTCTCTTTGCTTCAGAGCCTCTTTGATTTCCATGAACTGAAACTGCAGTATGCTATGAGCATGCTTCTCCCTCTCAAATTCCTATAAATAACAAAATATTGAGATTTTTATTGATCAAAAATAGTATCCCATGAAAAAAAGAAAATAAGCCCAAATACAAAGAAAATGCTTACTGCAATGCAATTCTTGAATATTCCTCTAATTACAGTCCCACAAGAGTACAATTTTTGTCTTATTTATCCTTTTCCCAAGAAACTATTATTCCATCAAATACAGAAGTGACAGACATAATTTAGCTGGTTTCATAAGTTGAGCAGCAGGCTGGCAGTGAATAGCTTTTACACTCAAGTCCTACAGACTTCACAGATTAATGGATGGGAATTTAACCCACTCCTTCCACATAACTGTGTACTAAAAGTTAGCCAGACATTGTGGACTTTAAAAAAAACCTCACACTGTATCTTCTAGGAGCTATGTGTATACTATAGTCAAATGCCCCAAGCTAAAGAGACATTTCTGAAAAGCTAACACAAGCCACAGCTTTATTATTTAACACCAACTTGCTAGCTGTCAGATGCTGACTTCATGTAAAACTTAATTCACTCAACCATATAGCTGCCTTAATGATATAAACTGCACAACTCTCTCCCACGGGCCCTCTGAAGAGAGCTTTGTGTGTAAAATACTCCAGAAGCTGGGGGAGGAATCCTCCAGAATTCACTATGAACAAAACCTTTGAATTTACTTTAAAGGTGGAATATAAAAGGACATGTGATAATATCAATATAACCTTACCATATGAAACATTTCTTCAGAAATTGCTTTATAAGACAGAAACTTAGGGAAGAGTCCCATTTGTATGATCACAACCACAGAATATCCTGCTATTCCACTTGCTTTAACAGTAACTAAAACAATGACTTATTTAAAATCTTGAATAGTAATTTGGTTGCCTCCTCCCAAAGGTCTCTGCATCCCCCACCCAATCTTCCCCTGTTAAATAGCATGCCATAACTATATACATACTTTACTTTTTTCTTCATATTGCCGCCTGGATTCTGCCAGCTGTTCTTCTAACTCTAAGAGCGCATCCTTCAGGGTATCCACTTGGTACATGAAATTTGTTTTTTCATTATCTAGTTGAGCATTTGACACCATAGCCTTTTTATATTTCTCTTCAACTTCGGCTAGAGAGTCCTGCAAAGAATAAGCAACCACAGTCAGAGTCAGTTATAAAAGATACCTTGCCAACCAAGCCCTTGAACAAGAAAATTAAGTACTAAACCACAAGCATGCCAAGTACTCCTACAGAAACCAGTGCTAATCATGTGCTTACCAACTGTCCCAAGGTGATGATAACCGCCCCTGTGTTCCCACCAGACGTCTGTTCACAAGCAAGGAACCTTACCTCTGGACGGATAAAATGTTTCCTGTTCTCTGCTGCTTCAGCTTCTGCTTTCTCAGAGTTTTCTTCCTTCCCCCTTCTCCCCCTGCCCCTGCACAGTGGCAGCTCAAAGCAGCTGCTGAAGATGACAAGTTGATTTTTTTTTTTTTAAAGGTAAACTGGGCTTCATTTAAGATCATTTTAGATGATCTTAGGCCTTAAATTAAGGCAGTTTGACAGCCACTTCACACAAATTTCAGGGATCCTTACAGTGTGGGAACCACTAAATATACTGACTCAGGAATTAGAATTTGCCATCAAAAAGCTGCAGCTTTTGTCACCTGATGTATCATTTTTCATTAGGTCTCCTATATCATATCCCTTCTTTACAAATTTACTCTGCAAGACACAATTCCCAGGATCTCAAAAAACCTCTCCTATCAACTTGACCTGAATATAAGATACTGAGGTATTTATAACAACAGATGATGGCAAAATAAAGATCAGCATCATTTTCCATGTTGTGCAGTCAAACTTTGCAGTGTATGATTTCCATACAGAAACAAAACAGTGCAAATACACAAACAAGGAGGACACTCATGTCAACATTTTAGTTTACAGATCAAGCAATTTCTCTCAGAACTTAAGTAATTCTAATAATTACATCTAAAGCACAGTTGAGTTTAATGTACTTCCCTTTTCAGTCAATGGAACTGGGGATGATACTGGTTAGATGATGACAAAATTAAGTTTGAATCAGTTTAGTTTACATTTCTATTGACAAATAAGAGAATTTGACTTTAAGGACAAATTTGTACAGTTCCAAACACCAACTGTGTTTTGGTACATTTTCCAGCCCAAGGATGAGAAATACCAAGCAAAGAAAAGCAGCCAGGATTTGGAAACAGTGGTAGGATCAAACCTCAGAAGTTAGCTGGAAAGAAAGTATATGCAAGTAAGAAGTTAAGGTAGTTGCTGCACCACTCCTTTAGCACACTACATTTTGTTTTCTTAGCATCAAGCAGTGTGGCTTAGGTATAAATCACTACAAAAGGCAGTCTAAGGGACATGAGTTGAAAAATGACCTACATTTTTTTATGCAGTATGATTATTTTGCTATACCTACTACACAGCGATTTGGGGAAAAAAAAAAACCCAGGTTTTACAGAAAAGGCCAAGCTCCTCTTTTTCCATTGAGAACTCTGTTAAGATGGCACCATCTTCACCTGACGCAGTGTTGAGCCGATGACACAGTCAGCTATTATTGCTGATAAATAATGCACTATATGCTGGATGTCTACATATGTATTTGCAAGACTGCCTTTTCCAAAAAATGCAGCTCGTGTTGCTGTTCACTTATGAGGTGGTGGTACGCAGATGCACAAGTTAATTGTTACACCAAAATTTGTTTATGGCTTCATGAAAGCGGTAAGCACTTCCTTTGTGCCAACTGGTGTGAGTGTTCGTTCTTCACGTAACAAGCTTTGTTACGTGAACTTTTGTTACTAGAATTGTTTAAGGGTGTCTTCTGTGATCTAAATATAAAACCAAAACGACAATCACCACCTCACATGCACAACTTTCCAACTGCATGCTGGACCTTATCAAAACAAAAACATACAAGCTTTTAAACTCTGATTTTTCATAGCACTGTACGTCATGAGTTTTAGTTCATCTTCCAATATTGGGAGGCTTCCTGGATTAGGAAACTGTAAAAAAAACCCTAATAATTTTAATTTACTAGCAAAATTATTACCTTCTCAAAACAGCAAAGACAACATGCAATAGTAATCAGCGGCCTTTCAATTAACATTTGGAAGCATTTCTCACCACAATCAATCGAGGTCAGAACAGATACTTTTCCAGTTAATTAAATGCTTTTCACACAATTTACAAGCCCTTCCAGAAGAAAAGCATGCAAGGTCAGTTCTAGGTCTCACACTGACTCTCTGAATGTTTAGCTAGTGTTAATGATCACACTCCCAGTCTGCAGTAAACCAGTACCTTCATTTCTTTCAGTCCCTGCATGTATTTGCCTTCTACATCCTGAATCTGGTCCTTTAACTCATAGATATCCTGAGGGAAACGATGAGAAAGGTGAATGATGCCACTGAATCTAACGGGCAGAAGCACAGCTGATAGGGAAAAGCAAGTATTCAAAGTTCTCATTTAAATATTTCTACCACATCGGTTAAGCAGTCTGATCCTAACCTGAAGCACTGCTGGACAAGGAAATTTCTTGGTTAGAAGTTTATGTCAATTCTGCTCTTCTTGACTGGAAAAAATGAAATCTTCAACATTAAGGACAAGACACAAACCCAGCTTCAAATCCTCCAACAATTACATGCCCCAGACGGACAGCCCTTTCGCTGATTATCATCCTCTTTGAGGAATTCTGGTATTAAGGGTAAGGGCTGCCAAAGCCAGCCTGAAATACAGGCTATACTAGAGATGTAGGAAAGACTGTATGAAAACCATCCGTCACACTAAATTTAATTGTAAGCCCTATTTCACAGTCTTTCTCCTCTTCTGTCCTTGGTCACCAGCAAAGGGCTATCTTTCAGCTGTTTTACAGTGCTGAAACTGGGACAGACCTGCTTGTATGTGAAGTCCTAATACAAATTCCAGATGTTAACTGGTTGAAATTTCAGAAGAGCTATAAATTGTATGTATGAAAGCTAACAGAACTCACATTCCCCATTTCAAAATGGTCTTCAGAATGGAGCATTAAAAAAACCAGATTAAAACCAAAACAATTTAGCTACAGACTACCCAGACTTGCACTCAATTATGAACACTGGATTGCATAGCTATTTGCTATTCAAATGTTTCTAACTTCAGGGAATCACAAAATAACCCCCGCTCCCTAAATTAGCATCCAGTAAGTGCAGTGCTTGCATTATTTCAATCCTCCTGTCAGTGTGCTATACTGAGTCCACTTCCTATTTCATTAGGTTAGGATGAGATCTATTATGATCTGTCTGTTCTACTATCGTATGCCATAGGACTTTACCCAAATATTCCTGCAATACACACTAGCTTCCCAGCAGCATCTCTCTAATAAAGCTATTCACTTTTCATTTACAGCATACAGTTCATTTTGTCAGAACTGCCAAGAGGGGAGACAAGACAGTTTATTTTTTGGAAAGAAGTCTAAAGCATATTTAATAATATCCTTTATATAATATTAGTCTATTTAATAATAATGAGGGGGACAGTCCTAGTTAGTATTAGCCTGTCAATCCCAATTCTTACTGCCAATTTCTATAGTCAGTAACAGGAACATCAACACTACTTTTGAGTAATCTTATTGTTTATTAATTTATCAAATGCAAGGCATAAAAACATTCTGATCAAAAGAGATATAGTTAAGAGACAGATTCCTAACAATTTATGCTGGTTTTAAGTATTTCTTACCTTTATTTCTCTAATAGATGCCTCTGTATCAGCTGAGATGGATGTATCCCCACTGCCTCTTCGTGAAGAAGTCCCACCCAGAGAAGCTAAAGTAGCTGCTGATAAACTTGAAACAGTACGTGCTCCCTACAATCACACACAGTTAAAAATGGTTGTGATTTTTTTTTCCTATATTATGGGTTTGTACATTTTTGTTGTTGTTTTGTGGTTTGGTTTTTTTTGTTTTAAATACACACTTTATACCAACCCTTGCACTTCTAAATTATGCAAATTTGATTGAAATGCAACTTTCTAAGAAGAAAAATTGAAAGAACAAGCTTTAACAAAGGAAAGCAATGAGAAAAGGCAGATCAGATGCATTTACACTATTGTAATAGGAGGTTGCATGACTTAGCATCTAACTATTAATTCTTAATTAGACAAAGTCTTTAGGGGCTAGTATCGTCTTGCCAGGTATTTTCAAAACTTGTAATAATACATTTTGTGGATGCTTTTGTCTACCTCCCAAGCTCCTCTCCTTTCACAGACATTTATCTACTCAGCAGCAGTAGCCAAAAAATGTTTTACTGTACCAAGGGTTTTGCATTAAGCCAATTTCTCACTACTGCAGTAGTCTCCTCTTTTTTATTATTATTTATTTATTTTTATGTAATAACATAATTAAAATCTAATGAACAAACACAGTATTCATGTGGCTTAGCCTAAAGCAATTTCAGCCAACTGCTGTGAAGGTCAACTACTTAACATCTGAATGACCAGAGGTTGAAAACTTCTTCTTCAAAAATGTAGCAGTAGACAGCTCCAACAATTCAAATTTTTGCCCCACAATGGATTTTGTATATTTCTGTACACTCACTGTGAGTTCCACCTACCAGAAAGAATGTGAAAAAAGCACTATTGTCAGAATAATTCATAACATTCTTCTTACCTTCTCAAAGTCTTTTTCTGGCCTTTCCTCAATCTGTAAAACAAAGATTTAGAAGGAATTATTAGATAATAAAGGACAAGTGAAGGCAGGAAGATATCAGAAAGGGAATTCTTAAACCTGTAAAAGATTTTTCATTAGCAATTTCTATCCACTCAAAAAGCAGCCAGCTCACTCGGAAGAG